ACTCGGAAGGATGTTAGCTTTTGAATACACTACTTTTTAATCCCCTGCGGAAACTGTTCCTGGTAAAATATGATTACTTAAGGAGCATGCATTTTTCCCATTGATTTTTGATGGTTATGCAAATTTAAATATATGGTGTAGAAACTACAGGCAAATATATGCGTTCTTTTAGTCGTTTGATACAGAATTACTTCATCTTTATATTTTATACTCAAAGAAGAATTAAAATTAGGTCTTAAAAAGTTTCTAATTGTAAGTTTTTTAAGGACCCTGCAGTATCCATTCATACAGCATCGTCCCCGTCCGTTTATCACAGATCCTCATGAAATGCACAACATGGCCCGCATCCATTGCAAAATTTTACGGACTCCATCTGGTGTCTTTTTAAAAGCAACGAAAAATATGTGATTTTCTTTAGGCGGAGCGCATGTACCTTGTAGACTGAAATCACTGGACGTTAATGCAACAATTAATCAGGTTCCAGATTATTCAGGAAATGGAAAACTTTTTTAAAACCTAATCGTACTTCTTCTTTGAGTATAAAATATAAAAGTGGCGTAATTCTCTATCAAACGAGTGAAAGAACGCATACATTTGCCTGTAGTTTCTACACAATATATTTAAATTTGCCTGACCATCAAAAATCAATGGGAAAAATGCATGCTCCTTAAGTAATCATATTTTACCAAGTACAGTTTCCGCAGGGATTAAAAAGTAGTGTATTCAAAAGCTAACATCCTTCCGAGTCCGAAATATTATAGGATTATGCCGCACGATAATCAATAGTACAACCCCACCTAATTAATCCTTCCTAAATGAAAACGCATTTCAGAATTCCAGCCGATACTTCATGTGATCGGTCACTCACTGTATCTACTAGTATCAGCAGATTTCTCAGCGCAACTTCAAGTTTTCTTACTTTTTTAACTGCTGCGTGTCAGAGAAACATGAAGTCGGCATTTTTGTTAAATCTGTTTGGCGTCCATAATGAGCTGCAATTTTAGCCATCAATGCGGTATGCAGTCATGCTTATCCATTTGGACTCTAAACACTCTCAGTATGGCGACTATATTACTTAACTAACAGAGATCCAAAAAACGTAATTGGAGAACAAGGCAAAGGCTTTGTCGCCTTTGCCTTGTTCAAGTTTATCCCGGGAAAACATTGTAATTGGAGAACACAAAAACGGGGTACGATAGTAAAATCTCGTAGTTCTCATATTCGTTCATTGATGAAGCCCCCCTCATCTTCGCTATCAAGGAGTATGAAATAAAGGTTAATCCAGTTACTGTTATACCTCAAAATGGCTCCCAGAATACAGCAACTTTCAGCAGGGCTTTAAAGTAGAACAAAATAGAAAGAATTTCGTAGCTTTTTAGTTATCAAAGAGTAATGTTCAGAGCACAAGAACCTCGCTGAAGTTCCCACAATACTAGACGCACTGAATACTGTCTACAGTTGAAAAAACGCCGGACGCATTCAGACTTGTTACCACATATGGGGATTGCATTATTCGAACGATGCAACAAGAATATAAGGGCAATTTTGTGTCTTCTGCTACTGAAGTCTGTCAATGCGTTTCTCAATTGTAGGAGGCCTAAATTGTCTAAGGTGGAGATCTTTCTGTGAGGAGACGGCTGCTCGCAATATGCATGCGCCCAAACCACCGATTGGTTTGACGCAGCAAGAGAGGCCGGACGAACATAAATTAATTCAACATGGACATTTGCAAAGGCTCCTTGAGAGAAGGAGAATAGTTAATAATATAAGTGAAGATGGCATTTGCCTCGTTTGGCGCTAGATATTCGCAAGGGTCTCCTGGGCCTTACCTGCCGAATGCCTCCGTTTAAGGACATAACATCAAGTGAAAGACTTGCTTTCTAAAAGGATACCCTCCAGTATTTTCCTGTGGGAGTCGTCCAGAAATATTTCCTGTAAATGACCGGGTTGTAGAACAGGACACTTTCATTTTTGACAGGCAGTGAGAGAGGGAAGAAGTGGGACCGACAATATTGAGCATTTCCCTACTATAATAAAGGTGGCGTGTCTTCAGCTATCATTACGCGTTAAAAGCCATGACTCGGAAGTATGCCGGCTGGCGGAGCAGCTTCGTTCTCGGCAGCATGACTCAGATCACAATAACTTATTCTTAATGCAGCTTTCCGGTAACTCTCGTCAGCGTTGAATAAACGTTGGTCCTGGTGTTGTAGTGGCTTGCCCACGAAGGAGTGTTCCCAGAGTTCTACCATCACCGAGCAAAATCCTGTGCTGTATGGAGAATACATAAGTCATCATATTAAGGCTTCATGTCATACAGAACACTAGGTTGTCCTCTTAGTTGAAAACAGCTGCTGGCGAGGATTAGAGCTAGCATAAACTGTGTCCAGTCATGCCTGAGGGTCTCTGAGAGAATAGTGGCAGCTGCTTTTGCAGGTTTGTGGGGCAAGCTAAAGTGATATGTTGCAGTCGTCTAGAGGTGGTGTTCAAGTGCCTAGTGTTACATTCGCAGGGGGTTACTGAGTTCCAGTGACCCATGGGCAGCTGCGACTCTGTGGAACCACCTGCGTCCGAGTTGAAGTCGGTCAAGCGGCCGCTGTTCGGCGCGTCTGGAACCGCTCACTACGGAGGGGAATGATCTTGACGCAATAGAACCTTCAGAAAGGACGCCAGACATGGTCATGATGGCTGCCGACAGCAATGTCTAGGGGCCAGGTTGTTGATGGTCCGCGTAGACGGGAGGTGTAGACGAGACTATTTAATAAGCCGAAGCCGGCTGCAGGTAATTTTAGCCATTTATTTTAACTGGAATACAGTTAGTATAGGCAGAGAAAGAGAGGCCAAATGTGGGGTCGGAACCGATTGTGCAAATGTAGGGGCGGTCTTCGCTTCGTTCCAATGCCGGACCCAAAAGTGTAACATTAATTCCCCAGTAGCGCTGTCAAGCTCTAGGTCACGATTAGTCCCTGCCCTTCCTAGCACATCCCACAGTCTCATTATACTTTGCCTCTGAGCCTGACTTGTGATAAACATTCGTTTCTGGTGAGTTCTTCCCCATTTAAAAAAGTACTTATTGCTTCTTCACTTACATACATGTTCACATTCGTAGGAGAGTAAAATAGGAATTGTGTACTGGCTTTTAAATAACGTAGAGCCGCACGCTTTTTTGCAAAGCTTTGCGTAAAATTAATTATAAACTATTTTCTTACAATAACTGGCGCACCAGATGTACTCGCAATCGGACGATTTTTTACTCCAAACACTCATGAAAATACCCTTACAAGCAAAATTGACAGAGCCAAAAAATCGCGAAAAAATACAACCACCTTTTCACAAGTGTTTAATGAGTACATTTAGACAGTGCTATTCGTTGCATAGAATCTGGCTTAAATATATTGAACCAGCAGTTTTGACTGTATGGGTAAATAAATGGGATGCAAAGGCGGCATAATACTCCATACTTGACAGCGCAGGTACTAGCTAGAAGTCCAGACACGTGCTTTGCCGATATTCTGCCGCTGCATGAAAAAGCAGCGAGGGGTTCGACTTATCAGCGGGTACCCCAGCGTCCCCCCCTGAGTTGTTCTGGTAGATACCCCAGTTTTTAAATAACCACTTCTTACTTTCCCTAGAAATTAATCGCTAACTTGTGATAGATCAGTCTTTTTGAAACTAAAGTCTGGTATAAGTATTGGGGCCCAAGTTCACCAGGCAAAGGGAAATATATACATAATATTTATAAACTGCCAACAGGCAATTAGTAGTACATGAACAGGTAGCGTGCTACACCGCACTTGACTGATCTACCCCAAGAAAGGGATCAATTCCCGAGGAAAGTAAAAAAACGCATGAAAATGTTATCTTTGGTTCTTTGGTGGTACGGGGTATCCAACAGATCTTTTGAAAGTATATTTGAACTCAGCATAGGGTTAGGCGTATCAGGTTAAATAAACAAAATTGATACCCCTCCTAGCGACTGTCTATTGGAAGTCGTTTCCTGCCAGGAATACAGACAACAGGCCTCGCAAATAAACAGATTGTTAGAAATGTGATATATATATTTTAATAGATGCATCGACTTCCACTCGTTCGCACATTGCACATTATGACTGTTAAGTCCGGCGCTACCTTCTATGTCGGCAGCGTAGCATGACCACTGACTGTAAAACTTTGCGAACCGCAAAATAGTCTGACAGATTTCGACCATAGTAAAAACGAAAAAAAATCCTACATCTAGTAACTAATTTGAATAAAAACTGCTCCGTTTTGATGGATTTAATGTTTTTTTTTGAAGTGAAATAAACAATGCGGCCTATGAGAGTCTTATTCATTCGTGATTTTTCCACCGGTGTAGAGAACGAAATTAACCGAATTATATCCGCTTTTGGCAGTATACATAAACTAGGACCGTGTATTGCTTATGTGTTCAGTACTGCTCATCTTAGCGTAACTTAACGCCCTTTGTTTTAGTCAGCCATTTTTGCTGCAGAATAACTCTTTAAGAAGTTGCTTTAAAAAAACAACCAAATTGGAATGCTTTCTGGGGCTTATGCTTAGCATTGTGGACACGGACGCAGGGTAAAAGAACAGCCTCATGAAATGAATTGAGTAGAAAATTTACTGTAGTTAACAAGTAGGTGAAAATGCATCTTCCGCACAAGCATAAACGTTTAAAACATATTTTATATAAAGGCCTTGAGAAATGTAACTGCACAGGACACCAAAGATCACCCGGAAGTTTGCAAAGCAGAAGGATGAAACAGGCTTCCGCTCGCGAGGACGGTTGCAGGTGTAGAGGAGCTGCTCAAAGGTAGACACGGAGAAGGACCAGGCAAAACGAATCTTGACAAACCGAAACTTGCAAGACCGTGTTCCAATCGCGTTCGGCGGATAGCGAAGCCCATGCTCACTTGCTTTGTAATGTGTGCTCATAGTTGTATATGCTTACGCAGGATCACGAGATATTTGTGCGTTACTTCTGAATCATCTGGCTGTCGGCATCATTAGGAAGTTTCCATGGCTTTTAGGTTAAAATTATAAATTGAAGCGTTAGGACAGGTTAAGCTGAAATGGAAACTGAGACATAAAAATTCTTACAGAGCTGACAGATAACCCCAGTAGAACTCAATCTGATCGTCCGCGTAAAATGTTTAATCGAATCATTTGTTAGGAACCTGTAAGAGCAATTTGGATGATAAAATTTTCGATTTCTACAAGCCTTGACAGGGTCTTCTGCTTTCTCTTTAATTTTTTATTTAAAATTCAATTGTACCAAGCTCAATTCCTATTTAGAGTCCGAGAATGTAATCCCTAAATGGAACGGACTCCAACGGAAATTGAATACAAACACTGATTTTTGTCGTACTTAGACATACTACTGGATTTTTGATGCAATGTTCATAATTATTGAGCATAAACTCAATAACTCATTAAAATTGCGATGTCCAAAATCGTTCGTGATACCTAATCCTGATTATACTAACAACAGTAAGTCTGGATATGTCGCGCTTTAAAACAGGATTACTCAATGTCGCCAAGTTCAACCATTTCTTAAAGGGATAATGTTGCGCGTTAGTTCAAAGTGTTGACGCAAGTAGATCTTCAAATTCTTGTCTGCACTGAAGTCATGCCACACCCAGCCTGTATACTCGGGTTTATATTGGACATGGCACCATCTTTTTCTAAAAAGGAGGTTCAGAAATGGCGACGGGGTCACTCTAACATGTCATCTGTTTTCCAATTCCAAACATAAAGACCTCCATAATGATAAATTAAGACTGCGTTTTGAAAATTCAAAGCATACGACCGTGTTAAATAGGTATTGTTTTAGTTACATGGGGCTGCTTTGGAGGCTAGGTCAGTAGGTATGGCAACATTTCCAATGCTTTCTTCAAAGGTTATGGTTTTATAAGAAACTTGGAAAGATCCCAAATGAAGTAGAGCATTAGTTCTATGACATTCTTTTAGGCGGCATTCTATGCGATACAGATGAACAAGTCAGGTTAAAGTCATTTCTTTGGCCAAAACACCAAACGTGTCTCCTACTCAAATCTATACAAGAATGGAAGAAAGCTGAATTACTTCCACCTGTCGGTACTCTGTTATGTGGAAGACCCTAAAGCATGGGCGTCCATCGACAGCGATCATGATTGGTAGAGCAGAAAATCGCACATCCACGTGTTAAACGACCAGTTTGATACGTTGTTTGGTCATAATAGATAAAAGGTTTGCACGTCGAAACAATTAGACAGAAGTGGAGAATATACAGTGTATTGAGTAAAGACAGTTCATGAGACCGGTTCGGCCTCATTAATACAGCTGTGGGCATACAAAAATTGCACAACTGAGAGCAGAATAATTTTCGAAATTACCCTGCCTAAACTGAATTCGTCCTTACACATTGTAATCCGACAAGGGACATAAGGTATTTTACTCTTATTTAAGGCCATTAGAGCCAAGAAGAGCTGGCACTGTGAAAATGCGTTTACGGGCATCAGATTAGTTAGGAACAACACGTGAGGCGAACGAAATTAATTGGATGAGAGGGTACTTGCAATGAAGTTTAGGGTAACATGTCCAGTTTGGCACCTAGGAGGCCTTTCCATTGCCCTGTCGCGGACTGATGAGTTAGCAGAAATCACTACAGCGGCGCCCAATAGCAATATTGAAAGTAACGACACTCAAACCACAAAGAACGGCTCCATGCGGACAAGAGAATCTCATGCAGGCAGTGCGATTTCCCGTGAACGTTCCAAACAACACGGTCTTTATGTAATGCATTCTTCTTCAGAAGGCCTACCTAACCGCTCATTTTTATGGGACTGACTTTGACAGCCACAGGAACATTGGAAGCAAATATTACTCGTCAGACCGGCGTTCTTACTCCACCGCCTCTCTACAGCCTATGTCCAGCACAGAAAGATGGACGGTCAACCGCTCAGTTTGAGATAAAAGAAAAAGAGTTTTGCACAGCATTTTAGGGCATACAAGAGTTATATTATGTACTGTTAAGTAACTGTACGTTGAAGAAGATCTAGAAGACTCACCATTGCTTCGAGAGGTTAAATGAAGAGGGGATATAGGAACAGGGGAAGCCAAAGCAGGAGACTGTACTGTGGTCCCTAATGGAGGCTGAAAGCAGTGAAATTGAATAAAGTTTGTTGTAGGCGACAGAAGGGGAGACAAGGGAGAAGGAAAAAGTGATGTTGTATGCGCATGCACAGACAAAAAATCAGAAAAGTAAACCTGACATGTAGAGATTAGGAAGCCACAACCTACCCTCTGCAGCAGTCGAAGGCACTTAGTCAGGAAAGGCAGCTTTTTGAACAAACAGACACGAAACTTTGGATTCATGAAGGAGTAGACTAGTGGATTAAAGACGGCACTAGACTTGGCAAAGAGCATAGCCACCTCGGCCGACATGGGCGTCAAAATATTGCGATAACCGAGAAGCGAGAGGAAGGCCAGCATAGCGTAGGGCAGCCAAGAGCATATGAAGATGCTGATGATGATAGCCGATACTTGGGCAGTTTTCACGTCCGCTCTTCTGCACTGTCTACCTGAGGCTAATCAAGCGACATTATAGATTAGGTAATGTCGGCATTTGAAAAATTAAGCGAATAAGTATGAACTAATTTTTCTATTTGAAGAACTCAGTAGTTTTCTCGAATACTCGTCTGGTCACTATAATCCTATTCAGACTGTAAAAATCTGCTGTCGAAGATGACGAACATAGGCAAAAATGTGGTTTCAGAATCAGAAGTCTTCCATAATTTGCCAATTCAATATTCAACACATCTTTGATATGTACCGTCTGAGGAACCGTTGGCCAAATTTCTAAAATGCGTCTTTAAATGTAAATGGTTACTTAAGCGAGGTTGAAACTTTGATTACCGTGCAAAGTAATTCCAGCATATTTCAACCACATCAGGTTGCTGGCACTTGAATACGCTTCTCTCAGGTCGTCTGCAAAAACACCACCTAGTAAAAATGACTACTTGTTTAGTATGTCTTTTCAAATAGTTTTTCGATGTCCGCATTAATTCGAATGTATTCTGTACCGAATGTAATCAATAATATCGTTTCTGGCACTCGTTTAATAACTTATGTGTCTTATTCAAATTTTGCGTTCAAAGAAATGGTTCCTTTCAATTTTGACAGGTTTCTCAATTCCTAAATAATTTTGAGGCTTATATGTTCTTGCATCAGCATTTTGCGTTTATAAGATACAGACTGAATAATACCCATGCAAGGAAAATGATGCATTGCTCTTTACCCCTGGGAAGACATCATATAGGGCTCATAACATTTTTCGGTCTATATACGCTTCGTTGAAGACCCTATAAAAATGTAAGTAGGCAAGTATTATTTGTATGATCCATTTACGGCCTTCAAATTCTCACAGCCACAGATTTTTCCGAAGTCGAAAAATATCTTTCTTTCGTTGTAAAACTGGAAGATGACATGATTTCCCATCAAATTATTACAAGAAACGATTTCTCGCCTGCGCCTGCTATTAAATATATTTGAATTCATAAGGATAATGAGATCGATGGAAAAATGCACAGTACTTCTGTGGTCTTTTTTTAACAAAGATTTGGTTCAGCAAACAACCGAAAAAGTAACCCATTTAAAAGCCGGCATCCTGTCACGACTGAAATAACTTGGGATAATGTTGTCTGATAGGCAATACTACAACCAGAACTCGGTAATATTTCGAGATAAAAAACTTATTTTAAAATTTTAGTCTGCATGTCATGAGATAGTTCACCGTGATAAGTCATAAATTCACATGACAAGAAATGCTGTGCTGAAAAATATACTTAAATTGTTTCAGAAGCGGTGTCTACCTCCATTTGTGCGAATTACCTAATTAGTCGTCGTTTTGGACCCCTGGTAGGAGTTTATTGTTGAATGCTGTCTAACTTCTTAGGTTCTGCACATTTCTGGAAAAATTCAACTGTTTAATCTAAACTCAGACCTTTAAGTAAATTTAGGCCATGGTGGAAAGGCAAATGTCAATTTTCTCCACCAGAATTACGGGATGTTCATTGCCGAAAAAAGCCAGCTCTTTGATGCAAACTCAGGCAAATATGACCAACCGGGACAAATTCTGGAAGTCAGTCACTCCAGCCTCTCCTGCAACCCACTTTAACTCGTTCTGTGATTTTTTGATCCGCTTGGAATCTGTTCCAGTTAGTATTTTATTGCAAATGCAGGTTCTTTAAGTAAACGCAAGTCATGGGGGAAAGCATAGGTAAGATGCTATTATGTAGCCCCACCTGTTGAATACACTACTGTTGAGGTTAGGGGTTTAATTAGGGTAAGGCGTTGGGGCATCTATTTCTCAACGACTCAAAGTACAACCGCACATTCCCAATAGCTTTTCTTTTGTATACAACATCTTGAACTCGTCCCCTGTACGTTCCTTGGCGCCACCTGTAAAAACCCCTTTTACCACCGGTTACATAATACAGGTGACTCGGGTTTGTTTACTTCAGGTGCGGCTACATAACCACATCTGTCCAAAATGTCATTTTATTTCCCCACCGGAGCTAAGGAATGCAGAGTTCTTTTTTGTCGGTGTCGACCTTTTGAGGGCCACCGCGTAGTAAGACCGCGAATTCACGGCTTGGTACGTCCACCCGAAGGCCTGTATGTTCACATTGCCTCTGACCCAACTAGTCATCGCGAGAATGGAGCTAATTCCTTATTATCCCTCCGGAACTTCATTTCCGTCAAATGCGGGGGTCCAGTTTAATCACAAGGCTTAAGACAGCATTTTCAACCGATATCGTTTTTTATGCCGACCCTCATGCGTATCGTGATATGCTCAGTGGGGCCTATAGGGTTATTATCAATCCATTTGCGATGGTTCCATAACTCTTGGTTACTGAGAATCCAATATCGGCAAAAATGCTTGTATTCATGTATGTTACTTCCAATAGTTAAGTAGGGATGGGACGAATATATGTGAAGCCTTTGGCCGACCAATATATCTATGATACTACGGTTACCTTACAGCAATGGACTTTTGATTCTACACGGGGAAAAAAAAGTGTCCTCGCAATGAATGCCCGGGGGTCCCTTATCGCGTGTCCTGGTTTTGACCCTAACTCTCATCCTAGCCCTCCCGACCCTAAATCCCACGCCTCCGTGGGGTTTAGGGCAAGTCTACCTGTAATACGGCGGTCTACATTCCCGTACCCAACTAATGAGATCTCCAGACATGGATGTTTAACTCTAAAACTAGACCTCATAAACATAACCATGATTCTAAACGTATTACATATTTAACCCTAAAACCAACTCCCACCTTGGAATATATGGCAAGGCCATCTGTAACAAGAGAGGTCGATATTCCGTGTACAACAGATTTTTTTATAGTAACTGAACACAGTCTGACTGTTGGGATCTAACTACTTAAATACTCGTCTGATGCTTACTTGCCATGTAAATGGGATCCTTCGGGATCCCTTTCAACTTTTGTGATAATGTGCCTTGATAGCAGTCACTTTGTCGAACTAGAAAGACTCTGAAGTTGTCTCCAAATGCCTGTGACTGGTTTCGCCCGCCGGAGTAGCGTTTAACAGAGATATTTTCGACAACGTTCAGGTTTTTTCATGATAAACTACTAGTTGAGGGTTATCTCCGTTAGTCTTCAGGTTGGTAGAGTAAAAAACTTCCCCTTACACACTGGAAGTCCTGAGTCAGAAGTAGTCTTAAGGTTTTTCCGTCCTGTCCGAAATTCTAATCCCTTACTTGAATATTTAAAGAAAATATCGGCGACGACAGCGATCGCTCCAGAGACCAAAAGGCAGCGTAGTCGAAAACTGTGGCGACTGCCGTTCGCATTTCTCCTGTATCGTCTCCAGAAATACTCCATAGGAAAGATGATTTCAATGTGACAGTGGAGGGCCGAATGCATTTCTCGTGACTCAGGTCGTCTCAAAACTGTAAAACTGTCAATCTTTCTTCAAAATTTCTTCGTCTGTATTTCCGTCCTTGCCGCTGGGTACTTCCAGCCTGCCCCGTTCCAGCAGTTGGCTTGGTTGCGATGCCTCTAAACTTCTCACTTCAGGCCGATACTCCTCCCAGACTGTATGCATTTCTGCACTTTTCGGACGGAATATATGGAAAATATTTATTAGGTTCTTAATTGAGCAATCTTGACTGTACTTAAATGGCATTGGTTATCGCCTATATATTTAGATTTAATGATCGCAGTGACATATGGTGCTGGCGTACTCTTCGGTGATCAGGCGTTTTCTTCGAGGCGGTTGCTCTCCTTGCAACCATCCTGAAGTCTACGGACGATCAGTAACTCCCACCTGTGCTGATGTGGGCCTTGCCTACGTAGCAGCTGCTAACGGATCATCGAGTCCCACATTTAAATGATTCATGGTTCAAGTGGCTTGGGGAACCTGAGAACGTCACTAGGATCTGGGAACGGACACTGACAGACTTAAGATCATCCGAGTTCCATCAAATTTTCTTAACTCCCAGCGGAACACTCTGGCGACGATTTCTGATACAACGCAGTTCATAATCGACAAAACGAGAAAATTTATTGTACCCGAGTAGTAATTGAACTTTTTAAGTAGAACGGACAAACCTAGGTTAAGTGGCAGGTAAGTCATTGGAACCCTCTATAGAATTTCATGATCGGGTCAACTGACCTTTGACAAACCATGCAAATGCACAGAAACGACTGGGCTGCATCAGTCTTAACTACCAAAAGTGTTTTAGTAGGCCAAGACACATTCGGAAATTTCACACAAGGTCAGTAGCACAAAACGCTTATTAAGGAGAAGTACACGTAATTAGTCGCTTTTAAGTACATGACGTTAGCTATGCACTAAGTAACATTAAACGCTGTCAACTTAGTCTAGAGGTGCGCAGTAGCTGGGCGAAAAATACACAGAGTTTTATTAAGGAAGAATTTATTAAGTATACCCTGACGTCGCCGCCCTAGAGACTACAATAGAACAAAGCCCATGCGAACATCAGTGGCGTCAAAGTAATGAGAGTGTACTGAGGGTACCGCAATAATCACGGTCCAGTCCCGCTTTAGAGAAGAGGGTGAAAGACCGGTAGGAGTAGTATAGTCATCCTCGTCCTTCGGACCCCTGTTGTTGTTGTTAGTCAAAATCCTGATTATTTTCTGTGTGGACAAGGTGCTGGAGTGGAAAGCCAAGGTGCGGGCTTGGCCATGCCATCCATGAGCGCCCCCCCCCCCCCGGCCTCCGGTCTTCTTGACTGTGTTTTGACACCGAGTCCAGGTTGGGAGTGGGGAAGAGAGAGCGCGGTAGATGCTGCGCAAGCCCGCTAGCATAATAAAATAATTCACGCGCAATTCACCGTGTCTGCAGCACCTTGCTTTGTAGCACGCGGTGGATATTGTCGACAAGGACAAAGGTCAAGAGTTCAAGCAAAGCAGATGCAGGGATATCCATGTCGTAGTACTGGAG